TATGGTAGACTGTCACTCCATTCACAGGTATGGTAGACTGTCACTCCATTCACAGGTATGGTAGACTGTCACTCCATTCACAGGTATGGTAGACTCCCTGACTAAATCCTCCATCATGCTTCTTCAGTGTTTTCCTTCATTTCAGTCTTTATGCTGGACTCTGGATAGTTTCCTCTGATCTTTCTTGTAATTTGCTCTTCTCTTCAGCTAGTCTTGCTTATGTTAACTATGTCCCCTGAATTCTTCAGAGCAGTAAGTGCATTTTTCATTGTGTTTTTTTTTAACCTGTAATTTAGATTTTTGTGTTTTCCTGTTAATGTTGGATATCTTAAGTCTGGCAGTTTATTTCCATATTAAACCTAATCAAATTGTTGTACTGCCTTTTAGTCAGCCTACCAGCTGAATACCTGTGGTTCTTCTGTATTTGATGTCAGTTCTCACTGATGTTATCTTTCACTATGGCTGGTCTTCTTTTATTGTGTTTGGAAAAAAACTAGATGAACCCATTCAAAGCCCAAGATATTCTCTTCTTCCAGAGAGGCATTTCATTCGCTTTTGCCACATATCTGAGGGTATTGACAATTTGATATCATCTTAATCCAATTTCAGAATGTTAGCTTTTAATAAGGAACACAGAAATCTTACCAATTTAATAGAGAAGATGTAGCAACGGAAGTATTGGAGGACTGCAAAGATGGAGAGGAGCTGCAGTAATACTGAAACTGTAAGTATAGTACGAAGCTACCCTCCAGGAGCTCTGGTGGTGCAGTGGCTAAGCATTCAGCTGCTAACCTAAAGGTCACCTGTTCAGACCCACCAATCTCTGGGGGGAAAACGGTGGCAATCTGTTTCTGGAAGGATTATAGCCTTTGAAACCCTATGAGGCAGGTCTGCTCTGTCCTCCGGCGTTACTGTCAGATGGCATTGACTCGATGCCAATGGGCAGTGGGTAGTTAGCAGGCAGAGGGTGGAGGGAACAGGAGAAGAGGATGGTTATTTGGAAACTACAAGCTTGGAAGAGACGTCCTACAGAGCTGGGACCTTGACCTCTGTGGAGGGGCGCTTCATCAGAAGTCAGACAAAAGCCTCAACGACCTGTTCTTAGAGAAAATATCCCCTTCCTTAAGACAGTTTACCACCACCTGTAGAGAAATGTCCATAATTTCTTTAGTACCATATGCAAATTTTCAATATCCGCGTGTTAAAGGCATACTTTCCATGTGGCACATTCGTGCTGCTGTCTTCCAAAAATGAGCCGAGTTCTGATTCACCTGTCTCCCATTTTCTTCGATTTTTGCTAGCCTTCTCCATCTTTCTAATGCGATCAGAAGAGTAACAGGCGATAAGCGCGTGCAATCAACAAACTATTTGTAACCAGGTCATATATAAAATTAGTTTATCTATTATGTGTGATTTTTTTTAAATATTTTCAAATGACTCCTTATAGAGTAAAATATGACTCTGTACCCTGTGTTCCAGAAGGATTAACATTCCATTGGAATTTTGAGGACTTTATTATATCTTTTCTCTTAATGTCAACTTCTTTTTGTAGGTTCAGAGGAATAAAGTAAATATGAAAATCACAATCGAGTTACAATCTTGAAACCGTATATAACAAATCAGCCGATAAGATGTCTGAAGAGGAGGGTCCTACAGAAGAGCTAGACGAGGCCATGCGTCAGTTTCAAAGACAGTCTAGGTCACCGCCAAAGGAAGATCTGGAAGCTACCGAAGCAGCACCAGCTTTGTCCCATGACCTTGCTGACAGCCTGGAAGGGCAATCTCCCGACCAGATTTCTGAAACATCTCCTACAAATGATCCGTCAGAGTCCTCTGGAAATGGGTCCATCATGAGTGACGAACTACAGGAAGTACTCCAATTTTCTGAACTAAGTACTGAAAATATTGAGTCAAAACCAGGACGTTTTCCCAGTCCATCATTATGGTTAACTGAGATGACTGAAGGATATGAGACTGGGTTTACCCACCTATATCTTGACACAGGAGGAAAAAGTACTCACCTCCAGGAAGAGTATCAGAAAGAAGCTGACTTAGGGTCCGAGAGATTTACAGTTAACCTTCAGGCCAAAGGCTTACAGGAATTCCCTGAAGACATTTTAAAAGTCAAATATGTCAAATACCTATATTTAGACAATAACCAAATAAAAACTTTTCAAGTCGATGCAAGGGATATGCTAGGACTTGAAATTTTATCCTTGACGGAGAATGAGATAGTATCACTTCCATCTGAAATTCACTTACTTTCTAATTTGAAGATATTAAAGGTCAGTCACAACAAACTATCAAATATCCCTAAAGAAATATCACAGCTGAAGAATATCAGCCAACTCTTTTTAAATAACAATTATATTGAGAGTTTCCCTGCTGGCATAGAAAATCTTGGAAACTTGAAAATTTTAAATTTGGCTAATAATAAGTTAAAACATATACCAGAAACTCTATCTAATTTAAAAAAATTGAGGATTCTCAATCTGGAATGCAATCAGTTAACAATATTTCCTAAAGCTTTATGCTTCCTCCCAAACTTAATTTCACTAAACCTTAATGAAAACCTGATAAACAGTTTGCCAAAAGAAATTAAGGAACTTAAGTGTTTGGAAAGCCTTTCACTTGATCACAATAAATTAACTTTTCTGGCTGTAGAAATTTTTCTGTTGCTCAAAATGAAAGAACTCCAACTGGCTGACAATAAATTAGAAGTTATTTCACACAAAATTGAGAATTTTAAGGAACTTAGAATACTTACATTGGATAAGAATTTATTGAAAGGTATACCAGAGAAAATTTCCCACTGTGTAATGTTGGAATGCCTTAGTCTTAATGATAACAAATTAACAAAACTTCCTAAGAATATCCACAAGCTTAAAAATTTAAGGAAACTCCATTTAAACAAAAACAGTATGTTGGAAATAACAGAAAATATCTCACATCTTAATAATATATACAGTCTTGAATTTTCAGGAAATGCAATCACCAGTATTCCCATTGAGATAAAAAACTGCAGAAAAATAACAACAGTTAATTTGAGCTATAACAAAATAATATATTTTCCAGTGGGACTGTGTGCACTGGAGTATCTTTATCATTTGCATTTTAATGGCAATTATATTTCAGAAATACCTGTGGATATATCTTTCAGTAGACAACTGCTTCACTTAGAGCTTAATGAAAACAGACTCCCCATATTTTCTGAGCACCTGTGTTCCCTTATTAATCTTGAATACCTGGATCTTGGTAGAAACTACATCAATAAAATTCCATCACTCATTTCCAATATGGTATCACTCCATGTGCTTATTTTATGCCACAATAAATTCAAAACTTTCCCAAAAGAATTGTGTGATTTAGAAAATTTGCAAGTACTTGATCTTTCCGAAAATCAAATACAAATAATTCCTTCAGAGATCCGTAACTTAAAAGGAATCCAAAAATTGAATTTCTCAAGCAATCAGTTCACAAGTTTTCCTATTGAATTGTGTCATCTTCAATCACTGGAAGAGCTGACTATAAGTCAGATAAATGGGAGAAAGGTAAGAAGAAACTGATGCACCAGGCTTTTCAGGGAAGGTGGGACTAAGAATCAACGTAAACCAAAGTTGTGTGTGTGTGTGTGTGTGTATGTGTGTGTGCACATGCGAGTGTGCACACTCAACTTAGATTTTCTCAGTATGAGTTACAAATACACTTCTCAACACGATAGCCTTACAGGAAAACAGTTCATTAAAATGAATGTCAAGTGGTTAAATACCAAATTTCAGCTTCATCATATGAATTTTAAAGTAATTTGGAAAATAATGACTAGGAAGGAGAATACAACTATTGGCTGTGTGCTAACAAAACTTTCCAGCCCATGTTTGTCTCTTACAGACAATTTGGGAAAATTGTACTCAACTTAAAATTCACTTAAGTTTCAGTAATCATTTCTTCATGATATGGCATATTTTTCCCAATAATCACTGTAATGAATACATAATTTATTCAAATAAGCCTCTGTTGTTCAGCATTTAAGATTATAATAGTTTTACTACATGTAGTTTTTCTATTATGCTGTAATGGACTTCAGAAGTATAGCCTTTTTCATGTTCTAGACAATTTCCTTAAAAACTGATGAATCAATAGGGATAAACATTTTTATGTTCAGCATTGCATTTTATTTTAACACTAAAGATGATTTTTGTGAAAATGGTTTGTTTTTCAACCAGAACACTACTCATTACTGATTGATATGAAGGTCCCAGGAACTCAATGACGCGAACACAGCTGTCATCTGGGTAGCTTTCATTTGATCACCCTGGATCTGTGCTAGTCTGGGCTTTGAGAAGCAGTGAGTCACAATGAACATTAGCATTGTAATTACTAGAGCAGTGGTTCTCAACCTTCCTAATGCCACAACCCTTTAATACAGCTCCTCATGTTGTGGTGATCCCACCCATAAAATTATTTTCATTGCTACTACATAACTGTAATTTTGCTACTGTTATGAATTGGGCGACCCCTGTGAAAGGGTCGTTCGACCCCCAAAGGGGTCACAACCCACAGGTTGAGAACCACTAGAGAGCCCTGCACTTAAGAAATAGGTTTACTTCTGCTTAGCATATTTCCCAGACTTATTTGAGCTTTAATTTAACACCCCTACACAATACATTCCCAGAAAGGCTACCACATGGGGTTAACTTGAGTTGGAACAAACGTGACAGCTCTTGACAACAAAAGAAGTATATGCCAGGAGGACTCACAGCAGCGTTGTTGAAAGACCTGTTGTGGATTGGGGACTACCGGTACTTTCTCTAATGAATGCTGACCAAGAGATGAAAGAAAACCGGTTTGAAGGGTTGTCAAATTATGGACTGCATCTTTGTCTTGATCTTACTCTTACATCGTAGGCCTGATGGGCAGGTCTGGCTAGCTGGTTTCATGCTATTGACCCACACGTGTCTCCTCCTGCACAGCACCTCTCTCTACAGGCCATTTTCATGTATATTTGCCTTGGCTTAATTGTCCTAACTTTTATTCATTTTTAAGAGGCTATTCACATTCCCCCTTTTACACAAAACTGTCTTTTAGTTTTCTGATTTGTACTGAAATATGTCATTATCAGTCATCTTTATTTTGCCATTTGATTATTTATTTTCTTCATTGTTTTATATAAGAGCATTTTGTTGCCTGAACTAAAATTTAATCTCCTGGAACTCAGACGCTCTTAGGCTTCTATGATATCTCAAAGAATATCAAGTATAATATTCAACATGTACCTTATTGATTGGTTGATTTCTGAGTGGACTATTTTCCAGTTTATTTATAGAATTTCCTTTATTTCAAAAATCACTTGTAACAGACTCATTTTCTTGGAGTACATGCATTTCTGCTTCAATTTTGCCAAGTGTTTCAATTGTTGCTATTTTGCAACAATCTTTGCAAAAGCTGGGAACTTCCATCCAGCTCACCTTGCCCAGCTATGTGGTTTCATTCTAAAAGGCTTTACTGAGCATTTACGGTACTCGAATTGTATCCTGCTTCAGAGCACATACACAAAATGTATAAAACATTTAGGCAAATAAAAGAAACGAATAATTAACAATAGTTGCTAATTGATGAATGTCAGAATGAATAAAAGTATCAAACATGGGACAGAGTCGTTTGGAATGGTTTGGGGAAGGGAGGTAAGCAAAACGGAGCAGGGTGTCAATAAACAAGAGTTGGGAAAGTGAGGGACGCAGATTAGGAGGACACAAGGTTGAACAGATAGGTTTGGCTGTGTCAGGGGGTGAGTTGGGGGCTATGTAATAACTTGCAAGTTTTAGATAGAAGGGGCAACACCCAGAAGTTGTGGCTCAATGAAAAATAACTCCTTTCTAGATTAAAAAAAAATTCTTCCTTTTAATTTTAGAAAAGAGATGTAGCCATATACATCATTGCTGAAAGTATATTTAATCTTTGTTACAGTTAACAGAACTTCCCGAAGAACTGTCTAATCTGCTTCAACTTAAAGAACTTGATATCTCAAATAACGCAATCAGAGAGATTCCAAGGAATATAGGGGGATTGACAAGTTTGGTTAGTTTAAATGCATGCAACAATCAAATAAGTTATCTGCCACCGTCTTTTCTATTTTTAAATGATCTCCAGCAACTAAACCTGAGTGGTGAGTGTCAAGCCTAATCCATAACATTAATCGATAAGCCATGTGTATCCAGATCCAGTCGGGAACTTTGCTGGCAAAACAGACTTAACAAGCAATCAGCACAATGCATCTACTACCCAGGAAAGATGTGGGACAGAGAAGGAGAACAAAGCCGGCAGTCCAGTTCCTGCACGGAAAGAAGTTAGAGTCCAGCTGGGGAAGGGGACACATTTTCTGTTCTTTTCTGTCTTCTCCGCTTCCACCCAGTCTTTCTATGAGACTTCTCTTTAAACCTGACCTCATCCCTCCCTTGATATACACGTAGGCGACCTCAAGTTGGAATGTTGTTTTCCTTTCTTCCCTTGTTGCCCGAATCCCACTCCCATTCCCTTCAGTACCCCCAAACTGTGCACATAGATTATAAAAAGGGAATTACTCACTCTAAAAGGTATCAGAAAAGATTTCCCAAAGCACTAGATGGATCTTTTTCTTAATTTTTCCTATGAAATATTTCTAACTTATAGGAAGAACAAAAAATATCTGTGCCTACTTCCAGATATACATATTTTAGCATTTTGATATTTACTAGAAGTAATGGTACTGAGATTGCATTTATTTTCCCATTCATCTTTTAAACATTGTGCGTGCATATGCATGTACACATAAAAATGTGCTACTTTGCTGAGTTATTTAAGTTTGTGAAATTGTATCACACTCTATTGGTCACTGTTTCTTTTTTCACTTGTTATATTTTTAATATTCTCAAACACTCACTGCCATCAAGTCAGTTCCAAATCATAAACCCCATAGGACAGAGCAGCAATGCCTTTCTGGGTTTCAGAGGTTGTAAATCTTGTTGCTGTGGTTAGGTGTCATCCAGTCACCTCTGACCCACAGTGACCCTATGTACAACAGAACAAAACAGTACGTGGTCCTGAGCCATCCTCAAATTGTGTCCTTATATTTGAGCCCTTTGTTGCAGCCACTGTGTGGATCCATCTCGTTAAGAGCCTTTCTCTTTTTTTCCTTGCCCTTCCACTTTAGCAAACATGATGTCTTTCTCCAGGGACTGGTGTCTCTTGACAATATATCCAGAGTATGTAAGACAAAGTCTTGTCAACCTTGCCTCTACAGAGCTCTCTGGCCTTACTTCTTCCAGTAGAGATTTGTTTGTCCTTTTAGCAATCCATGGTACTTTTCTTCTACATATTCTTCTCCAGAACCACAATTCTAATGCATCAAATCTTCATCAATCTTCATTGTCCAACTTTCACATGCATAGGATGCAATGGGAAATGCCATGACTTGAGTCAGGCGTACATTAGTCCTCAAAGTAACATCCTTGCTTTTCAATATTCTAAAGAGGTCCTGTGCGGCAGATTTACCTAATGCACTACATCTTTTGATCTCTTGACTGTTGCTTCTATCAATATTGATTGTGGATCCAAGACAAAATCCTTGACAACTTCAACTTTTTCTCCATTTATCACGATGTTACCTACTGGTCCAGTTTTGAGGATTTTGGTCTTCCTTACATTGAGTTGCAATTTATACTGAAGGCTACAATTCTTGATCTTCATTAGCAAGTGCTTCAATTCCTCCTCACTTTCAGCAAGCAAGGTTGTGTCATCTGCATAACACAGGTTGTTAATAAACCTTCCTATAATCCTGATGCCACTCTTAATTCATATACTGCAGCATCTCTAATGATTTTCTCAGGCTACAGATTGAACAAGTATGGTGCGAGGATACAACCCGGAAGCACACTTTTCCTGATTTTGAACCATGCAGTATGCCCTTGTTCTGTTCGTACAACTGCTACTAGAGCCATGTGCAAGTTCCACATGAGCACACTGATGGATTCTGGAATTCTCATTCTTCTCAGGGTTCTCTAAAGTTCACTGTGGTCCACACCGTCGAGTGCCTTTGCATCGTCAAAGAAACACAAGTAAGTAAACAGCTTGCTGGTGCTCTTGCTTTGATTCAAGAGCCATTTGACATTAACAATGATATCCCTTGCTCCACATCCTCTTCTGAATCCTGACAGTAATTCTGGCAGTGCCCTGTCAATAAACTGCTGCAACCGTTGTGGGGTGATCTTAAGCAAAACTTTACTTGCGTGTGATATCAATGATATTGTTCTATACTTTGAGCATTCTGCTGGGTCGCCTTTCTTTGGAATGGACACAAATATGGACCTCTTCTGGTCAGTGGGCCAGGTAGCTGTCCTCCAAATGTCCTGGCACAGACCAGCGAGTGCTTCCAGTGCTGCTTCAGCTTGTTGAGAGACTTCGATGGGTGTTTCATTAATTCCGAGGAGTCAAATTGACTGCATCTATGGAAAGAGATGATGGAGAAGCTCACTATCCTCAGTCAGGGCAAGAACAGGGGCCAGCTGCAGACACATTTCTTTGCTCATATGCAAGTTCAAGGTGAAGCTGAAGAAAATTAAAACAGCACTGGTGAGGGAAAGGGCAGGGAAGTTGTACGAGAATCTTTTTCCCCCTTCATTACTTGCTTATTCCTTCAGAAATTTTGTCTCATCCATCTTGCAGTCCTGATTCTTTTTGTTCCCCAAAACTTAGAGAATATCTTAAAGGGACCTAAACTTGAGTATCTTGAAGTTGCCCAAACTGCTGTTTTGATGTGACGTAGATTGAAGAGCTCAGAGTTCTTTAGGGAACGGTTCGAAAGATGGAAACACTACCTTCAGAAGTGTATAGACTTAGATGGAGGATATGTCAAAACCAATTGCTTTAAATTTTGATATTTTTTGTTTAATAAAGGTTTCTATAATTTTGTAGCAATACTTTTTGACATATATATGAGCATATTTCCACAAGCAGTGAACAAAAGCAGTGCCCAGATCTTGTTTTCTAAATAATATTTTTCCTAAAAGGACCAGAGTTCCTTTAATAATGCATTATGTATACATATTTATATTTATGAACAATAGTTATAAATCTATAATAATATAATCACAAATTATATAAAAGTACACTTTAGACCAGTTCCTGTCTAAATTATTACAAATCCTTACTTTATTGATTACCACAATATGTTTACATTGAATTGAGGAGGTATTAAAAAAATCCTGTTTTGTGATACAAACCTTAATCCTCCAGTTGTGTTCTGGCTTTTGCCACCTGAAGGTGCACTTCACTTACTAGAACACTTCCAAAGACTACAGTATGGGAAGAGGGGGTGCATGCACCAAGATATTGGAGAATTGTGGCAACCTTACTTTATCCAATGGATCAAGGTTCACATCGCTAGTGATGACATGTGGCTATCCAGTACTTGAAATGATAAAATAAAGGCATTTCAACTATGGCATTCTTTCTGAAAACCCAGGAGACCAGAGTAATCATGAGAAAATACAGTTGACAAGCCCAAATTGAGGAATATTCTACAAATAATCCATTTTGTTGCTGTTGTTAGTGCTGTTAAGCCAGTTCCAACTCATAGCAGCCCTACGAACTATGGATGAACCCTGCCCCGTGCTGGGCCATCCCCACAATTGTCATGTTGAGCCCACTGGTGCGGCCACTGCGCCAAGTCGCTCTCGTTTGAGCATCTTCCTCTTTTCCGCTGACTCTGCACTTTACCACTGATGATGTCCTTTTCCAGCAGCTGGCCTCTCCTGATGGCATGTCCAAAGTATGGGAGACCAAGTCTTGTCATCCTCATGCCCTTCTTTCTTTTTCGCCATGCTCAAAGCTCTCGGGAGCTTTCCGACTGTGGTTCTTCCACACAGATTTGCTTCTCCCTCTGATGTTCCACAGTGCTATCCATCTTCTTCACAAACACAATTCAAATGCATGAATTGTCCAGTCTCCCTTACTCCTTGTCCAAGTGCCACATGCCGATTGAAAATACCAGGTCTTGGGTCAGGCTCACCATAAGTACTCAAAGTGACTTTACAGAGATCTTGTGCTGCAGATATGCCCAATACATCATTTGATATCTTGACTGCTGTTTTTATGAGCACAGATTGTGGAGTCAAGCAAAATGAAATCCTTGGCGGTTTAAACTATTATGATGTTTTCTATTGGTCCAGTTGTGAGAATTTTGGTTTTTAATCCATACTTAAGTCTTAGGTTTTCACTAGCAACTGCTTGAAGGCCTTCATGCTTTCCAGCAAGCAAGTTCATGTCATCTGTGTGTCGCATCATAAGCTCTCCTCTAAGCCTGATGCTATTTTCTTCATACAGACCAGCTTCTCAGATTATTTGCTCAGCATGCAGACTGAATACATCCGATGAAAGATTACAACACACACACACACACACACACACACACACACACACACACACCCCTTTCCTGTTTTAAATCACTTGTTTTCTCTTATTTTCAAACAAATGCCTTTTGGTCTATGTATGTTCTGCATGAGCACAATGAAGTGTTCTACAATTTCCATTCTTTGCAATGTTATCCATAGTTTGTTATGACCCACACGGTCAAATGCCTTTACATAATGAATAAAACACAAATAAACACCTTTAAGGTATTCCCTACTTTCAGCAAAAATCCAACTAGCACTTCTCAAAACTGTCGATGTCATAAGCAAACAAGGAAAGACCGGAAGCGGTCACAGACGGGAGGAAGCTAAGAATACATAATGAAATGCAATGTTATAAGGATGGGTTCCAGAACAAAGATATGATGTGCATGAGGAAACTAGCAACATCTTTAAAAATCTAATGAAAATGTACCCAACGTTTGTATGCACAACAACTGTACCAGAGGGATGAGAGATGATAACACGAGGGGAAACTAAACCCAGGTGAAGTATATGCAGGGCTCTGAAATTTCTGCATCTTTTCCATAAATCTAAGATTATTCTGAACATGAAGTCTACTTAAAATTTACCTTTATGCCATGCTTCCCATCTCATGTGGCCACTCTAACGAGAAAGCAATAATGGCTATTTCTGTATTTTCTCCTTTTCATTGTTAGCCCGTGAACAACAGTCAGAACTTCCAATTTGCCAGCAATGTGAGGATTCGTGGGTACTTTGCCAATGAGACACAGTAGAGGCCACATTCATAGCTATTGTCTCCATACTTTTATTTTACAGAAAAGCATAACTCAATTGTGATTTTTTTTTCCTACTAGGAAATAATCTGACATCTTTGCCTAGTGGTATCTATAATCTTTTTTCACTGAGAGAGATACATTTTGATGGCAACCCATTGATACGACCTCCAATGGAAATCTGTAAAGGAAAACAGCTGTATACCATTGCATGCTACCTACGGAGGGCAGAAGAAAGAGATGGTAAGTGGTGAATGAGTGACTGACTTCTGACAATCTTTTCTAATCTCAGCTGAAAATAAAACTTTGTCTTAATGAGAGGCCTTCAATTTGGCAGAGAATTGAAGATATTTCGTTTTCCCTTTGCCGAAGGTTAGAAGATTATTTTGAAAATCCAGATGATGTAATCCAAGTCCACATAAAGTGGGCCATTGCAAACAGGCTGCATACTTTCCACTGGCTTCTGTGGCCTTCAGTAGGTTTTTCTTCATGGTTGTGGCCACGGAGTTTTTTCATTAGTTCTGATCTGCCTTAGTTGTTCTAAACACATAAACCCACAAACTGGATTTGCTCTGGAAGGAAGTCCACAGATGCCAGTTCATTTTTGACATACTGTGACTGCCTATGAGCAACCTGTGGACTGTTTTATCCCTTCTGTCCTTGGGGTCGCCTTTGTATGCCCTGGATTATTCTGAGAAGCAGGGTCATTTTCTTTAGATGCACTCTTAGTGAACTAGTTGGATACTGGTTTCTTCAAGCTTCTCAGAAGGAAACTTCTTTCCTTGGGACTCAGGCGTTCCCATTCACTGTCACTCCTCAGATTTTGATTCTAGAATTTAATAAATTCTAGACAGGGAAGCATTGACTCAGATGCGAGGAAGTGGATTATCTAAAACCATTCCCCCAAATTATTCTATCATGCATTCTGTGCATGTACCAGATTATGAGTTAAGGTTACCATCGATCATAATCACTGTGAGGAGGTGAAATAGAAGCGTACCTTCGTCTTTAATCCGTAACGCAAATCCACACGCATGGCTACTGTCCAGAAGCTTTCGCAAGAATTGGGTCTTGTTAGTAGAAGGAACTTAAATAAATTAAACATCATAGTGGCTTTCTCTAACTTGCTGTGTAAGCAGGTTCTGCTAATTAGTAAGTGATATTTTTCTAGAAACCTGGTGGTGCTCGTGAGATACTGGGCTACAAACTGCAAACTCAGCAGTTTAAGCCCACCAGTTAGTTGTCAGGAGAAAAGATTGCTATTTATTCCCCAGAACCCTGTGGTCACTCTGAGTCAGAATCAACTCAGGGGCTATAGGTTTAATTAGACTTTTTCAGATTCTTTTTTTATTTTTTTCCCAGGCTGGCATTTAGTTGGTTTTAGTTCATTTTGAGTCATCTCTAAACATTATCCCTTTACATTTGCACCTAACTCTTAAAGTTCCAACTTACCCCTTAGTATTCCCATACGATCTTGGTGATACACCATTCCCAAATAAAATATATAAGTAATCTTTTTTGAAGTCATTAAATCTGCCCTGAAAAGCTAGTGGGGTGCTTATTTAATAAAAGAGGGTGAGATTATTTCTATACAATACATTTATTTACTGTTTTTTAAGGATCTATAAAATATTTCTTTTAGGAACAGTATATTCATTATAACCAAAACCAAATTTACTGCCATATTAGTCCATGATGACTCATAGCAACCCTATAGGACAAGGTAGAACTGGCCCTGTGAGTTCCCCAGACTAACTCTTAAGGGAAGTAGGAAGCCCTGTCTTTCTCCTGCAGAGTGGCTGGCGGTTTTGAACTGCTGATTTGGATACTGGTTTCTCCAACTTCTTACATGTAACCACTACACCCCCAGGGCTTCTACAGTATATTATAGAAGGAATTTAAAGTTACATGATTGAAACTTTTTGATGAAACCATATTTCTCAAGTTCTTAAGGAGACCTTTAGTGAAGGTATCCTGAAAATAAAGCTTTAAAGCCCAGAGATGGTGAGGGAAAGTCCAGCAATTAACAAGCATTCCCTTTCTCAAAATTTTACTTAAAGAAAATAACTTTTATTTTTACTTACGGGATTGGAATTTTAATTTATGTAGTTAGCCTACAATCTAGCTTAAGAGATTAATGATATATATAATATAGAAGAAAGGAAAGCCAAGAATATATTTGAGATGATTAGAGAGAGGTAGGAGAGCTCTAGTTCTTGAAAATACTCATATTAGGTTATCAAGAAATATTGAATCTAGTTCAAATTAACTAGATGTTGGGTTATTATGTTTTTTAAATTAAAAACACTATATTTACTTATATTTAAGCCAACAACCATTAAGATATTTTAATATAATATAATCATATTATATTAGTCATATGTTATGACATATAGATGTAAACTTGACTTCTTCATTTAGTACATAAACAAATAAATTTTTTAAATGCAGAATTGAAAGAGTCAAAATCATTTCAAAAAGATTCTTGAATAAAATTAAAGAGTTAGTAATTTTGGGGTTTCTTTATAATATCTTTGGAAACTAGATAGCCATTTTAATTTTAGAATTATTAAGATTTTTCTAGAAATGCAAATGGTTCCAATTGCAGTTCATACATTTGTTGATCTGCACTGGGTTTTAAATTTTACTTGATATACATTTGATAGAAGCATAAAAATACAATTTGTAGCAAAAAATAGATATAATATCCACTTAAAATATATTATCTTTTTCAAAGGAGATGGCTTAAATTTAATTTTATATTAATTTGTAGAGAAAATCTTAGAGAAAATCTTCATGATAGTTGCCAACCACATCACTGAAACACATTTTGAATTTTTGTGTCAAAAACTAAAGCTGGGAAAGTCAGAAATGGAAGCCCACAGGTATGTATGAATGTGTCGTACATTTACTCTCATATTTGGATTCATAGTATCTAGACAGTACATGGTTTGTGAACCATTCATATCAACATGAATTCTAATTTCTACAGAGGACTAAATGCATTTAATAATATATTTGAGACCCTTGTTAGAAAATAGCATAGTACTCAAGAATGAGGGCTCAGAAAACAGACTGCTTGGCATTAAATTCCAGCTCTACCACTTACCAGTTTCATGACCTTGGGCAAGACCTTCAACTCTTCTGTGTCTCAGTTTCTTCACTGGTAAAATTAGTATACTTACCTCAGGGAGTTTCATGAGTATCAAATATGACAAGTTATAAAACATGTATTACAGCAGTGATAATTACTGAGCTCTAGGAATAGTGTTGTTGTTGAAGTGCCATTGAGCTGGTTCCCACCCATAGCCACCCGGTGTAGAGCAGGATGGAGCACTGCCCATCCTTCACAGCCTGTTCTTGAGGCCATTGTTGCAGTCAGGGTGTCAGTCCATCTCCTTGAGGGCCTTCCCCTCCTTTGCTGCCCCTCCCTCCACTTTATCAAGCATGATGTCCTTCTCTAGGGACTGGTCTGTCCTGAAAACATGTCCAAAATATGTGAGACAAAGTCTTACTATCTGTGGTTCTAAGGAGCACTCTGGCCTTACTCCTTCCTAGACAAATTGGTTTGTCCTTTTAGCAGTCCATGGTACTTTCAATATTCTTCTCTAACACCACAATTCAAGTGTATCGATTCTTCTTTGGCTGTATTCAATGTCCAACTTTCACATGCATATGAGGCCATTGAAAGTACCATAATGTGGTATAATAATAATCCACGTAATGGGATAATAATAATCCAAAAATATTGAATACTTTGAAATCTTGAACAAATTTCATAGAATTGAATGTATATTGAGCTATTGATTTTCTATAGGAAAACAAGAAATGAATAGCTAACATTCACTTTTTGTATTCCAAGCTCAGCATTAAAGTACAGAGTCTCTCCAATTAATTCAGTCTTCCCTATAATTATTTCTCACAATTATGGGATTTATTTGGGAAGTAACAGTTTACAATTCAGGTTTAGAATACACTTATTTGATCAGGACAGCTTCTTCTCAACTGTGCCCAAAGGCAAGCCTCTCTCTGGCCAGCAGCATCTCAGCCTGGCCCCTGCCCCACTTGTGGCAAGCTTGGACAAGCATTTTCAGAACTCCTTTAGCTCTGCCAATAAGTACACAGAACTACCTCACTTTTCCAGGAGTGCTCAAGCCCAAAGGCACTCGGCTCTGGCTCCTTGTATTCACAGACTAATTCCACCAAGTGCCCAGAAGCACCCCCCTCTGCCAGCAAGTCTGTTTGAGGCACTCAGCTTTCTCATTCCATGGCTGCTACACCCACTTCTATGTCTCATGCTGGTCTCTAGGCTCTTGCTGCCTCTGTTGCTATGGTTTCTCTGCCAGTGCTTCTCTGCCCATTCCAACTCTGGCTTCTAGCTCAAGATGGATCTCAGGGAAGGGATCTTGAGCTCAAGGTGCAACTGAACAAGAGCAGTCAAAAAGGCCAGGGCGGGCCAAGTGGGTGCGCTGGGCTAAGCACCTGGTTCTTATTTTCATTGACGGATCATTGGTGGATCCAACTGGCTTGTCAGGGAATCTAGCCCCTAACAAATCATCACAGGTCTGGTAGGCGCAATTGTACAGCGATAATAAGTAAAGCTTATAGTAAAGTCATAGAGAGCATGAGAGATAGAAGAGAGATTGAAATAATGGAGTCAGATACATTTCATGGTAGCATGCTCACCTCAGCCTCATTTGGTGGTCCACGTCGAGAGAGAAAAGTAGGAATTGCAGGCGCAAGTGATATAGGAGGGAGAGGATGGGGGAGAGAGAGCTTCTTTATTGCTAACCAAGGCTTATATCTCTTTGGGGGGCGTACAAGCCCCCTAATTGCAGATAAAGACATATGTCACAGGAAGGGGTTGTGCTATAGGTACTACAGTAATGAGAGGGGGACAATCTAGGGGTAATCACGCAATAGGAAGGGGAGGTATTGAGGGGGTACACATATGATAAGATGGGCAGATCCTAGATTCAGGGAGGCAGCTTAATTTTGGATGTCACTGAGCCAGTTTGACCTGTTCTCTGGCTCACTATAGAAACCATTATCAGTAGGGTATAAACCCCACCAACAGGGACCAGACTTTAGGGAGAAGTAGCCCATTGTTCTTATTTTTTATTTTTATTTTTTTAAACATTTTATTAGGGGCTCATACAACTGCCATCCCAATCCATACACACATCAATTGTGTAAAACGCACCTGTACATTGTTTCTCAAAACATTTTCTCTCCATTTAAACCCCCGACATTAGGTCCTCATTTTTCCCCTCCCTCCCCGCTCCCCCCTCCCCTCCATTGTTCTTAACAGCAGGGAGTGGGCCCCTCTTGTGGTGGGACCAGACAGTAGTCTGGCAACTGACTGCCTTCAGGGAGGATGTCTCTAAGCATCTGACCTCCCATCATATGCTGGCAAATAGCCTCTGATGTTTGGCATATCTTTGGGGGAGACAAAGCTGGGGAAAAGTCTCTTTATATTCCCACACTGGCTGAATCTAGACCCACCTGTGTGATGTCAGGGAGCTAGGTTGTAGATTTAGATTCACCTGCACTTAGGGGGGCTTAGTTTGCACATGCTCAGTTTGGATTCTCCCATAAGTGTCTGGTATCTTTCCAACCCCTCTGTTGCGACCCTATGCAAGCAACGGGGAGACAACCCCCCTTACCCCTAAACTAGCGACCTGTCATAAGGGCAGGCTAGAACTACCCCTACTGGTTTCTGAGACGGTAACTCTCTACTGGCGTAGAAGGCTTCCGTTTGGAACTTCTGACATTACAGTAGGCAGCTAAGCATAACCCACTATGCTTGCTACCAGGGCTCCTATTTGACAGGAGCCTAAGCACACCCCACAGAAGTTTATAAGCCAGCCATTTTATATCTTTATCACCTTCCATTTTGAGTAGCCAACATTTAAATTGCCCATCACTTCAAACCAATACTTTGAAGAGATAAGTATGTTCCTTGATTTGAAGAATCTTTTGTTTCTTTTGAGCACCTGTGTCCAAAAGCAAAATTGTCTAGAGCAATTGCAGCAGTTTACGCCAGCTCATGGCGTCGAACATCAGTCTGTGCATACAGTCAGGTTCTAGCCAGTTCATTCCTAGCCATCCAAACAAGATCAATGGGTATCGTCTGTAAACTTAAGAATCCACCCAACTCCTTGCATGCACTTCAGACCAGTAAGCATGTAGGTACGTGCTCTCCCTGTCTCTCTCTCATCATCCCAAATCCTTATGGGCTAGCTGCCAGTGGAACACGTCCAAACTCAGCCCACCTCTTCATTTTTGCAACTCTTCACTTCCGCTCATACCTGGCCATCCCCTTGCTGAATCCCTTTGACTTCCAGTCTTGAAGGGGATCCTTCTGATGCACCCAGTCCCTGACTGCTCCTGCCTGGATGCTTGCAATGGCAAACAGGTTATTCTGCATTTTAAAAGCCAGTATATTAGATACTTCCTTCAAATGCTTATCTCCTGTTCCGGGTGGCTCAGTGTGTCTTTTCAAATGCAAATGTCCTACTTGGGAACATTCTGGCCCGGGCTTAGATTTTTTACCCAAGCCTCCAATTCTCTATACAATGTTCCTGCATTCAAAACTGTGTTTCTTGAACAAATCTCAGTTCTCTTTTTAGCTATCCAGTCAACAATTGCCTTAAGGTGGAGTTACATGCACTATAATACACAATATTCATTTTAAAAAAGCATTTTATTAGGGGCTCATACAACTCATCACAATCCATACATACATCAATTGTGTAAAGCACATTTGTACATTCATTGCCCTCATCATTCTCAAA